GGTTGGATGAGCTAAAGGATCTTCATGAGGCTCACACCATTTAAGGATCAGCATAATGCATGGAAGAGCACTGAAAGCCTTGTTTTCCACTTGCCATCTCTCTTTAAAAACTGGTCATTACATGGAAGAGCAAAACTGCTCAAGTAAACAAATCCTTTCTTATATCCTCCACAAAATTCTCACTGCACAAATAATTTAACAGAAAGGCTTTGCAAAAGCTATAGGTTGAGCCTCTGAATAAATAAAAGGCTAACAATAGTATTACCAAAATATTCAAATACCTCTGCATAAATTCCAGTATTCCATATTCTAGAAAGACTGCTAATAATAACGGGCATTTTAAAAATATACAGCCTTCATACTTTGGAAGACATTTTAAACTCATGTTTGCCCACCAGTCATCCTTTCAGCCTCTTGCAGTCACTAGCTGTTACTAGTGTAGCTTATTATTTATTCAGAAAAACTCTTAACTTGCCCCAAAGGAAAGCACCCTTTTTATATGGCTAAATGAAAAACTGAACTAAAAACTGCCCTCTGGAATTCGGTACTTTGAATGCATCACAAGCAGCACTTTCGATGCCGTACTGCCATCCCTGGGGCTAGAGCATCCCAGTGTGCAACACACGCACACGCACGCGCGGCCAGGGCTCTGATCAGGCACTAGAGAAGGGAGGAGGAGGGCTATGGGTAACATGCTGGGAAACTGGTGTGGCAGCACCACCTAGAGGCCACTGGTGAGAAGCTCAGAGTCACCTCTGTCCCTGCTTCAGGGATGAACAGCTTGTCCACTCCAGTTCTCAACTCCAGTTCTCAACTCTAGTTTTCAACTCTAGTTTCCAAGATCAGAACTTTCGGCCAACAGGACAAGTGCTGTATGCACGTTTCCTAGTACTTCTAGGGTCTCTATGATTTAATCATATGTCTCCTGTTATGCAAATAAGCAAAGCGATACCTTGTAGAGCATGTAGAGCTGTGTGTGAATTCTCTACCATTACACATTTAAAGCAGAAACCATGAAAAGGCACAAGCCATTTGTTATTGTCTGATCAAACTCCTCTAACCACAATCATTTTAAGCCCAAAGCACAAATAATAAATAATGATTTCTGCCTTTTATTCATTCCATTAGTATTAAATACTTGCTCAGTGTGCACATGCACCCACCATATGTCTTAGAATTTTAATCTTTAGTGAAACTTGGTTACTACTTAGTTTTGTTGTTCAATTATCCATAAGAACAAGTAATGTTAAAATACTGAATCAGGCCAGCGCAGTGGCTCACGCCTGTAATTCTAACACTCTGGGAGGCCAAGGCACAAGGATCACTTGAAGTCAGAAGTTCAAGACCAGCCTGAGAAAGGGAAAGACCTCATCTCTACAAAAAATAGAAAAATTAGCCAGGTGTGGTGGTGTACACTTGTAGTCTAACCTACTCAAGAGGCTGAGTCAGAAGGATCACGTCAGCCCAGGAGTTTGAGGTTGCTGTGAGTTACGGTGACAACACTACACTCCACCCAGAGTGACAGAGTGAGACACTGTCACACACACACAAAAAAAACCCTAAATCAGATTATATAATAATTATTCAGTAGCTAATATGTTGCCAAACATTATTACTTTATTGACAAATAAGAAATTTGAACAATTTGCACAATAAACCTCACTAGGAGTATTTTTAAAAACATGTAAGGATTTCTGTTCTATCAGTGCCTAGTTCTTTCAACCAAGATATCCTGTCTAAACATGACAAAAATGAAAATTTTCTCTTTATGTGTATGTCTTCCCTTAGACTTGTGGGTTCTCAAATGAGGGTGATTTTGCCTCCCCGGAGATATTTGGCAATGTCTGTTGGCTCAGGGATGCTGGAATCCTAAGGTCCACATGACAGTCCCCCCACAGTGAAGAACTGTCTGGTGTAAAATGTCAACGGCGCCAAGGTCGAGAAATCATAATCTAGACTATAAGATGCTAGACTAGAACAGGAACCATATTCTATTCAAAAATGTATACTGTTTGGAAAGACAGGCAATAACTGTCTGGTGAAATAAATTGACTCTAAATAATTCTTATTATTCCCCACCTATGTGAATAGGAAGGTGGGTAGACAGTCTAACATCCAGAAAAGGGGTGCCTATAGCACCAGAAAAAGATTGAAATTGATACTAGCAGACACATATATAGACCAAACTGGCAGAGTAAAATAACTTGCCTGGACTTACTTTGACCTCCATGAAATAAATACCACACAAAACCACTGCTCCAATTTCTTGCTGGCCATGCACTTGTTAGATTACCACTCAAACTTCAAAAGAATGCTAATATCAGGAAAGTATATCCTTGGCCCTACTTAGAGCAGAGCACCCTATTCCCTGGAAAGGTTTGTTTCACTCCCCATGCAAGTGGCCATTTGTAAATTTTGTTATTCGAAGCCAGCCTTACTGAGTCTGATCACCTGGGACATCAGGGAAGCCTGGGGCGCAGACGCCGCACTGCAGTAGATTCACCAGGGTGATGGTTCTTCCTCAAGGATTCTTGGTGAAAAAGAATCCAGACTTCTGGTCATTGCCCTCTTTCAAACGGTTATAGCATTTTGGAGTGATTTTTTTTTTCCAAAATGAGGTCTCTTCTTGTATTATCCCACTGAAGATAACCACTATGAATATTTTGATAAATACTATTCCAAGAAACATACATAAAGCACAGAAAAACATCTGATTTACAGCCTACTATTTTCACCCAAATGTGTGTCACAGATATCTGCTTATGTCTGTAAGCATAGTTCTAGGTTGTCATCTGAATAAACTGTAGGTGATCTTAAATCCAGGCAAGACATACCAATCATTTGAGGATGGGAAACAATTCACCAAGAATATGTGATATGCACAATCAAGATGAAGCACAGCATTGTGACGACAATGATAACCTTTGCCATTTTCAGACGCATTTATCTGATTTCTAGATATAACGTCCTGAGTGGGGTTAAAACAACCCGTGCTGCCCTGCTGTTCTCTCAAAATCCTTTGGGACTGGTGTGAGTAACACTAAATCATTAACGAAGTACTCATGGACCAGAGCATCCAGGACACAGCCCTTAACGTGGACCTCACAAGCAGTAACTGCTCATTGTGAAGGGCATCACACTGGTGACAGAAGACAGCCTTCAGGAGACAGAACCAAAGGTGATTTTCAACAATGTAGTGTTAGAATTTTTACAAATGCATATTACTTTTAGACATTTGTTAATATTTACACATTAAATGTTATTTCTTCAACATGTAGTGATGCAATGCTTTTTTTATATATCCTGCCATATAGTCTTAATTCTTACAAATGCTTTGTTTGTTTCTTTGTATCTTTTAAAAATTGGTGGTAAGGGTATAAGGCTTCAAGCTTTCCAGGCAAGTCCAGGAGCTATATTATTATACTCTTTGATAGTCACTACAACCATTGGAGGGCCATTTAACACATTAACTACCATGTGAGTTGTATTTAATTCATGCTAGTTTTGAGCCCAGGGCCTCATGAAGCATATGTAACTCTTTACCTTTCGAGCCGTGTGTTGTGCAGGGAACTCACGCTGTCATGCTGTAGCATACATGTTACATGATGGATGGCCCCTGGGCAAAACCCTGTAGCTGGTTCATGAAAATCATACTTGTGGGTGTTTGTATTGTTACAATTAATACTGACAATTTAATTGCATATAACTCACACAAAGAAAACAATAAAAAATAACACATTTTCATTAAATTAGAAAGGATCATTTTGTTTTCGAAGTTTTTATTCTATTTTCATAATAAAACACCGTGGCCCCAAGGAAAAACATTTTTTTCTAATGTGGCAGTCAATGTGTTAAATGGTCCATTCATTTCCATCTCAGCCCTCAAAATTTTAACTATCACATCCTGAGCACCCTAAGCCCACCAATCATACCAGCCAACAGCAATTATCAGTTCCATGAAAGGGCAGCATAGTTTTTATAGCACAGTGAAATTCTTGATGGGGCTATATAATAACAGTGTTCACTTTCACTTCTCTGACAACAAGAGACAGTAGACTAGATTCTCAGTTCCTAACAGAGAGGCCCAGAAACAGCACACCCAGCTGCTCCCCACTGGGGAAGAGAGCAGTAAGAAAACAGCAACAGTCAAGAAGAAGGAGTTACAGCAACAGTGCCTGAAATGTTCTACGGTGGAAAGACCTGAAATTAAAAATAACAAAGACTGAGGAAATCCTAGAGTTTTAAGTCCACCTGTAAGACACACTACAGTATGTTAAGGTCATACAGTTTAACTTTATGGAAAGTTCTTATTAAATATGCAGTATAAGGGCCTAAACTAATGATCTGTTGGCTCACAACTGAACATAACTACAAAGTGATTTCAATGTTAAAGACATTAAAGACCTATATTTTTAATGAAAAATACTCTTAAAAATGGAAACCAGTGGGAAAATTTGTATGGGAGTTTCTGAGCAGGTCAAAAGATAATCGGCCATAGAGTTTGGCACATTAAATGACTTGTATCAATTCATCAGTAAGAAAATCGTTTGGTAAAAATAAAAGCTTCTATATTTCTCTACAAGTCTCTCCTTGGTGAAGAGATGATGAAATTAGGTTAGATATTTTAGGCTAAGTTAAGGCCAACCAAAGAGAGGCAAGAGAGAAAAAAACTAAATAATGTCAAGAGTTGGACAGCTCAGGTCCATTACTGACAAATCTCACCAGATATACTATAGTTTGAAAGTTTGCATTAATCTAGAAAATGTATTGATCCTTTCTCTAATTTCAAATAGAATTTGAGGAAAGTTATATGCAGATTTACATTATGACAGGAAAAGAATTTGTAAGAATAAATAAATTTAGACTAAAGGAAAATAAGAGTAGAATAATAAAATGAAGCCAGGAGAAAAAATATCTTGGGAATGCGTACATTAATAGAAAAATTCAGAACTTGAAATCAACACTAATTTATGAGGTAAAAAAGAAGCTTTGCCACTCACCAATTTTAACCTCTGTAAAGGTATTCTGCCTACATCTATTTGTGTCCTTTCTGGGACATTAGTGAATCGAACTTCTGGGACCGCAACGGCGCACATGACATGGGCCCACCTACAGGAGAGGAGACATTAAACATAAACAAAAGTTCCCTAAACTTATATACCTTCGTACTTCAAGCTGGCGATGACAATTCTCATAGATGAGAAACACACAGATGAGAAAGAAAGCCAAAAGCCTAAACCCATCACAAACAGATTCTGAATTGTAAACCTGGATGATACCTGGATAGATTCAGTACCACACGTGCCCAACATGACATGCAGAACTATGTAAAGAACAAGGACTCAATCCTATTAACCTATAAATATTTTTCTACACTTGATCTGAAAAATACTGAAATGAATTTTCTTATTTCATTTGATGCTAAAATATGCATGTGCTTAATGTACTAAGCAAATCACTATGTGGCAAATGATTACTTCAGTTAATAAAAGGTATAAACTGGGTATAGAATATAACCTTTTTATATAATATAAATGTTACAAACCAAACTGGTTCAAGCAGCAAAAGTTTTCTAAAAGAATTAACCCTGATTAAGTTTTTTAATTTTTTATCACTGCAATCCTACTATAATCAAAGAAACCTAGAGACAAGGAGAAATGAAATTTAGCATGTTCCCTGGTTTCCAACTTCACACCTAATATCCCCTTTTACATTCTGAATTACTCCAGAAAAATGAGAACTTCCCCATTAACACTATTAAGGGTCTTATAAATGTTACATTCTCAAAAAAACATAAAGACTCATGAGGTTTGAAGAGATTTTGAAAGAACTGTCAAATCCTTCAACCCATTTTTAAGCCAAAGCATATTTATTTCACTCAAGCAACATCAGATTGCATCCTGCCTTTCAAGACCACAGGAAGAGAGGACAAGTATCAACCCCCACCAGGCCATTCTTTCTTATCTAAATAAACACTATCATGCTATTAAAAAACAGAAATTCTGTTTGTCTAGCCCAAGGGTAGGAAGAGAATTTCTTATCACCTCTATCTTTATAGGAACCACCTAAAACATCTCATAGTCTGCCAAGCCTGTGCAACATCCAAGAACTAGTGTAGACTTTTTAGTATAGTACCAATCATACCAAGTAGGACTGTGAAAGAAGACCCCAAATTAAGCAAAACTACAGTTTTGTAGAATAAACTTTATCAATGTAGGAATGATAAATGCCTTTATTCTTCCTTCTGAGCAACCATAAACATGTGTACATGTATGTAATTATGCTATCTCCATCAGGACATCACACCAGGAGTCCTAACTCCAGTGCCCCTGGGGCCGGGGGGACGTAAACCAATACAGATACACTGGGACGCCATGGTGACCTGGGGATCGCTCCACTGAGGCTGGCTTCTCATCCTAATTTGCAATTATTGTGTTACAGAGACACACAATCATTTTTCAAGTGAAGATGCAAATCTGGATTTTTATGTCAAAATATCTCAATTTTTAAATTTGGGATTAAATTTATAAAATGGTGTGTGGGTCAAACAAAACATATCTTGGAGCTAGATCTGGCCCTTGAGTGCCAGACTGCAACCTCTGCCTAAACCATTTCGACATGTTTCTATTCCAAAGGACCTCGCAATATGCTATGGCCCCATTTTCAATATTACAACCTGGCTGTGAAAATAAAAATAAAATTCATGCAAAACAGCCATAAAAAGCAGATTACTTTCCTTTTATGTTCATTTATGACTCTCTTTCAAGACTCTCTTCATATTCTCCACCTGTCTGCCTTAAATCGTAATATCAATGTTTTCTCCCTATCTTTTGTAATTTAGTACACATATATTCTTGTTAATTTGCTCGTGTTAAAAGTACTGGTTTTGTTTAATGTCATGACTGTGATTGATTTAATTCATTTGAAGATAACAGTTTCACTTTTTCAGTATACCCTGCTTTTATGAGACTAATAGCATTAGCCTAATAAATTCTAGGATTCTAATGGCACCTGGACGATATGGGCAGCCTTCATTTAAAAATGTCTCTTAGTGAAAGAGGGGTTATTCTTCATGGTGTCAAACACACAGAAGAGGATGACTTGGAATACTCCTGCCTAGCAGAGGTGAGAGTGCTGTAGGTAGTGGACCCTGAAGCCCAGAATTCCAATCTCAGATCTGGACAGCATAAGCTTTGGAACCATGTGTATAATGAGAAATAAAGCTTCCAGAGGTTCTAGAAAGGAGAAAGAAACATCATAAAAGTCAATACAATTAATCCATTACTTACTTATTGTTCTTAGTTTGCTTAAGTGCACCTCCTCTCAAATTGCAGAGGCAGCATTCCTAGGAGGAAAAGAAAATACCAAACAATGAGCAGACCCATATCACAAAAGTCATTACTATTCATCTAAATATTCCCAGAAATTCTAATTTGTTATTTTAAAATTAAAACCATCAGGAATTACATGAAGGGCAAATGGTGTTGGAAAAATTGTTCTGATCAACCTAAGTTATCCAGCCTGAGAAAACAGTGCCATGAAACACATTCCTGTATCCTCCCCACATGAGTTTCCCTTTTTAGCACTTTTATATGTCTTAACATAGCATATAATTTTCCACTCCAAGCTGACTTCCATTGCTACAAATACAGACTTTGTTAGTTACTTCTCATTACACTCCCATGAAAAAGTCTAGGAAAAGCAGGGCCAGACAGCAGAGCATTGCCTTTTCTTGACCTAGATTTTTTTTTTTTTATTGAGCACCTAAGAAACATTTTTATTTGTAACTTCAAGCTCATCCTCCCAATTTTCTGCATTAAAACATTTTAAAAAATAGTTATAGGTTATGTGGGGGTTTTTTCTTCAAAATTGTAAACATAACATTTCTTTACCCTGTCCTCCAAGGCAATGTCCCTTAACTAATTTTGAAAGTTCTTGCCCAGCTTTACTATGAATCCACCTAATTGATCTACTTCTATTAATAACCTCATGGTATCAAACTGCAAAGCTTTTACTTTCCTGAGGAGAACAAAACAAAAACAACTGGCAAGAATCCACATATCTGTATAGCTCTTATTAGGCAGTAAAAAATGCAAGCAACCAGAATGTTCAATGGTTTTGTGTGCCTGAAAAGTCTCTGTACATCTCTATGAACCTTCCCAGATTCAGGAGCAGCAAAAGGTGCCCTGTGTATCCACTTGAATCCACTATGAACCCAGCTCAGCGGAGCACATTCTCTATCCATACCACAAAGCCACATGCTAGAAGCCTTGGGAGTAACTGGTTTTGGTGAAGCACACCAAGAAAGCAAAACTTCATAAGCCAAACGTCGAACATGAGAACTCCAGAAATTCTCTTTTAAAAGTTCTCAATTGTATTTGTCCAGTAATTTATCACACTTTCTATAGTGGGAGGGAGGGCACAGAGGGACAGAGAGAGAGGAAAATGAAAACAAAACTTGAGGCCAAAGGCTTTCACATAACATGTTAGCAGCAGAGCGGGAGCGCAGCAGAGCTGTGGAGTGCGAGGAGCTCAGGCACTGAGAGAATTAGAAGTCTGATTAATGAAACTAGTAGTGAGGAGAAGCCTAAAGGGACACGTTAGGAGAGTTAAATACAGCAAAGCAGCATGGAAGCTGCTTAAAAGCACCTGATTAGGATCATTAAAAGGTACACATGTTCTAGAGCCCTAATCTAATAAGAGGAAAAAGTCCTCTGAAACAGAATGTGTAGACTCAAGATTTTTAAAGTTAAAAAGATTCCCACTCACCTCAATATGAAACCTGTTCTTTTTAGGATCACCAGTGACCTCCAAGTCACACAAACTAACAGACAATTCCAAGTCTGTGGTTCGCCTGACCTCTGCACACCACTGAACACCTTTGCCCCTTCCTGGAAGATGTGCTCCCTGTGGATTCCATGATGCTTACACGCCTCCTTGTCCTCCTGCATCTCTAGTTGGCCTTCAGCTTCCTTTGCCAAGCTTCTCTATCACTCTCCTCAAACGTGGGGAATTTCTGTAACAACCCCTGTCACCTCTCTCTCCACACAAGGTTGCTGGGCATGTGACCCACGACCCTGATTCCAATCATTCTGTAAAGGCCAAAGGCTCACACGCTGATGTCCTGAAGTGTCTGGCGGACAGCTCCACAGGCCTCGTAAACACACGTGCAGAGCTGAACTCGCATCCTCTTCCCAAACCTCAATTCCCCAACCATTACCATCCATGGCACCAGCCACCCGTCCTAGCTCACACTGGGAGACACATTGTTCCTCTCATCCTAGATCCAATCAACTGAGTTCTGCCATCTCACTTCCATGCTCACCCTGTTCTCTCTCTCTCCATCATCCTGCCATCACTTTAGTTGACACTACCAGCTCCTTCACTCAACCTAAATTGCCACAATAGCCACTCACAGCCACCTGGATCCCCCATGAGAGTGGGTTTTTATAAAGTCTTTTGGTATTTAATATGGCCTCGAAGGGCCAGAATCAACAGGATGTGGCCGAGTCCAGTGTCCCTGTGTACTACTCGCCAAGCTTAGACACTGCAGGGACCTCCAATGAGGCTTCTTCTGCCCTAAACACTTCAGATCCAGCCTGTTCCACCATTAACGAACCTGAACACATTTCTGACATCTCAACCTAAATGCTACTTCCTCAAACAGGGATCCTCTAATCCCCTGGCTCAGTTACTTCTCTGTCATACATTCTCTTTTCATTGATATTCCCCTTTTAATAGCTCATTACTCTTCACAACTGTTCGTAGAATTCTATCTGCTGTTAGTGTTTTATCTATCACAAAATAGTAAGTTCAATGAATGCTGTGAGAGTATCTGCCAGGTTAACTGCTTTTACTTCATTATGATACCTAATAGAGAGGACATCCACAACATGAATTTGTAAAATAAATAAGAAAACGTGACAAAACAGAGAAGAGCCAACATCTTGACAATTAACAAAGGATGAAAAAATTGCAAAGGCCATTTTCACATAATGGGGCTTTCTAAGGGAAGGATGCTGCAGGCTTCAGTGACTTGACTTAAAGTTATTTTTCCTATAATTTACTTGAGAAATCTTATTTCTTAGTAATGAACAAAAATATTTATGGCCAGTTACACTCTTAACTTATTTATATAATATCAGGGTTTCTGTTCAATTCTATCAATTTTGAAAAAATAAGTAGAAAAGAACAAAAGTCATGTCTAGTCACATTACTTGTTTGATTCGCTGTCTCACAGAGTCAAGGTAGTTGATCTGGCAAAATATAAAGATGCCAACCTGTCCATTCATTTGCAGTTTCACTAGATGCTTATGTTCAAAGCCCAATAAAAGGCATATCAGATAAGACAGTTTTTAATCTTTCTTTCCTTTTCTAAATAGCACTTTATTGCCAGAGAACAGAATTGATAACTCTAAAAATTAACAGGTGAACCCCTATGTAAAAAGCAGCCTGAGTTTTCTTAAGAATCTATACAATGCCTGACACATGTAATGACAATATACCAAACACAGTGACTGTATCTATATTATTCATCTTTAAATATTTCAGTGAAAGAATTTAATGAAAAGGTAGGAAAGCGATAGAGTATCCTTCAGGATACTGACTCATTAAATTGGGTACAAATAACAAAAATTAGATAATAGAGACCATGCATTAAAGGCCTAATATGTTCCAGGTAGCATGTCAAAAATTTTATATACTTTACCCTGCCTCCTTAACACAAATGTATTAGGTAATTAATATTCCACATCATAGATGAGGAAACTCAGTTTCAGGAGATTAACTGACATGCCTAAAATCATGCAATCGAAGGTCATCAAACTTTTTCTGCAAACTCTGCACAACTACAGAGTTGTAGATAGTCAACTCTGCTGCTGTAGGACAATAATTAAACTAATCACTGCGATTGTATTCCACCAACACTGTTATTTACAAAAATAGACAGTGGGCTAGATTTGGCCTATGGGTTAAAGTTTCCCAATGTCTGACTCAACCAGCAAGGGGAGTAGATGGGATTCAAACTCAGATCTGCCTAATCCAAATGTCCATCCTCTTTTTCTCTAGCATCTTCTGCCAACAGGTATAAGGCAAGATATAAAGAATCAAAGTACTGCTAAAATAAACAAGAAACAGTGCCTGCCCTGTGATGGTCACAACTGAGAAAAGACCTGTATATACTTAAACATACAATGAAGAAGATAATGATAAAAGGCATTACCAAGTCCCCATTTGCTCATTTCCATAAATAACCAAGAATTCTTTTTTAAAACATAATCCCTTCAAAAGAAACCATATCATTAAAAACTGTATTACCAAGCAGCATAAAACAATTTGTGATTCCATTTGTTTTATTAATTTAGCTAATAAAACTTCTCCTTGGTATGAGATCATTAAATTTATCCCCACTTCATTCTTCCAAAGAATTATACCATTCAAACAAAAGCAGTATTTTAGTTATTGTGTGATATATAACCTCAGGGTAAATGAATCAAATTCAACTGAGAACACAGAAACTGGAGAGCCAGCTACATCGCAGTATTTAGCATAGTGCAGATGGCCAGGCACAAGTCACAGTTTTGCCACTTAGTCATGGTATGCCTTTGGGCCAGGTATGTAACCTTTGTGACTCAGATATTCTATCTATAAATGGAAAAAAATAGTCTTTCCCTAAATTAGTTAATATATGTAAAGTGTATCCTAAGCACATACTAAATATAAGAACAGCAGTTAAATATGTAAAAGGTTAATAATTGTTGTCCTAGACAACATAAAGATAATATTGCCAGTGGATAAACTCAGTATAGCTCTTTAGCAGGGGAAAAAATGCGCATCTCTGATGAATAATTCTCTTGGGGAGCAGAAAGCAAGAAAGTGCAGGAAAAGAAAACTCTCCAAGAACCCCAAATCCAGATAGCAGTGGTCTACAGCCATGATAGATCTTCCACAGTTCTTAAAAGTTGCCAACTTAGCTCTGAAAGGTACACTGGTCTTCAGAATATCCATTGCCCTCAGATAACAGACCCTGCAAGAAGGTAAAGTCCTAATCCTACCCTCAAAACATTTGAAACCACAGTTAACTGAATTAAACTAAAGCCACAAGAAAGCTCACACCCAGCTCAAATACAAATCAGATTGACTATGCCCCTACTCTAGGAACATGACAGAAGAAAGGGAATGCCTTTTCTGGAAATAATCATATTAAATTAAGTCACAAAAGACAAAACGTCTAGCACACAATCAAAAAAGTACAAGGTACACTAAAAAGAAAATGTGATTTATGATCGAGAGGAAATAATAAATTCAAACAAAAGACGGAGAGAGAAAGAGAGTAAATAAGTTTCA